GAGTGGAGTTGACGTTTCCATTTAATTTCACATAGCCTTGCTTTTCCAAAAGTTTTTATCATCAAGGCCTCGCATGGGTCTTATCAACACCCCCGACGGGAGTCGAACCATGCAGCTCATATAGCTAACATACTGTTTATGTTTAGGTTGATCACGTTTTCCTCTTTCTCTTTATCCCCTTTGCTGTGACTTGCGGAGTTCAGGCTTTTATATTTGACTATGAATGGTTGTTTTCCTATTGTAAGCCCCTATACTGTAATTCCCTGCTTTTTCTTGGTTCCGGGGCATCCAACTTTATATCATGTTGTAGAGTTCAAGAGTCTTTTTATTCAAAAGACAGCCTCCCTCCTATTGGAGTACTAAAGGTACACTTCAAGACCTTTCGTCGGCATTGTAACGCTATCCTTAGCACCGATCAACTTTCTGATGATCGCGGCAAAGTGCCTGAGGATATAGCAAGTTAACGGTCCGAGGCTGTGAATTATCATGACTACTATAGCAGATGATAGAGCTCTGTATGTTCTTCAAGCTCTGCCTGACATCATGAACAATTTGCCAAAATGAGGTCACACCAACTCTATACAGTGAAGGGGAAAGACAACCGAACCAAAGGCCAAGTAGAAGATATGAACACCAAGATGGCGTGGAAATTTGTTTGGTCACAGTCTCCTTTAGTTGCGAGCCTGTTAGTTTGAACTCGTTTTTCGAAATTGGTCGTAGCGACAGGGAGATCTTTTTAAAAATATCAAGTCCTTCGTACCCTACCCTCGAGTAGTCATGCTGATTTCCAGCATCGGAACGCTGACTTGGTACATTCCCAGATGTCACATCGGCATCGTAAATGACAGGCGCCATCTTCAGACCAGAGTTACAACTTGTCACTTTGACAATTTGTAGCATCACTCCTCGTCCATATTAGTTGTCCCGACTTCTCTATCTCTTTCTCTCAACTCTACTTCGTGTCTAAACGTAAATACGAAGACCAAGATATCATGGCTTCTATTTTGGCTGTAGTCTCCTTTCGATGTACAGAAGTCGTCTGACCTCGTTTCGCAACTCGCTCGTGTTGTCAGGGCGACTTAGTTGGATGCACCTTGTTCGAAGTTCTCTGATTTAGCAGTTACTATTTTTCCAAGTGTCGGACCGTGGACTTGGTATATTCTCATACATTTCGCCGGCATCTTCAGTTAGTCTTGTCATTTTCAGCATCAAGCAACAACTCGTCAAAGTCATATACTATCGTAGAAAGTTGGACAAGGGATCACCTTTACTTGTCTCTTTGACGAGTTGTAATTTGGTGCTAGGAATGGTAGGGCTCACTGACGATGCCGACTAAACGACTGGGAATGTACCAAGTCCACGATCCCACGCTTTGAAAAATAATAACTGCTAAACCAGACGACTTTGGACAAGGTGCGCCCAACTTAGTCGCCCTGACAACACGACCAAGCTGCGAAAACGAGATCAGGCCACATCTCTACCTCATGTCGCCCATGATGTGTTCTCGCTTACTTCAAGCGGATTTGGAGTAGCACAACCGCCTTCCCCACCGATTTCAGAAGCCGTTCGGCTTTGCCCACAACTTTCTCAACAAAAAAGACATAAGCGATAAAATATGATCAAAGAAACTGGCTTACTCTCATTTCTGCCGCTAGATTGGGGCCTGGGCCGACCAGGGATACCCTGGGTTGTGAATGCCTGGGATCTTGTGTCTTGACGCCATTTGCACAGAATCTCTCACATCCAAGCTTCTCTGCAAACTGGCCCAGTTCAGGCAGTTGAGAAGGTCTAGCGGCAACAGTCGTACCGATCGCCTGGACAGCCAAGTGAGACGACGCTGGGCAAGATTCGTCGTTAGGACCGCCGGCAGGACACTTTGTGATGGTTCTGGCGGCGATGGTATTACCTTTTCCCGACGCCGTGGA